AACACATGTTGGAAGCAGCGAGCAACACATGTTGGAAGCAGCGAGCAACACATGTTGGAAGCAGCGAGCAACACATGTTGGAAGCATCAAGCAACACATGTTGGAAGCAGCGAGCAACACATGTTGGAAGCAGCGAGCAACACATGTTGGAAGCAGCGAGCAACACATGTTGGAAGCATCAAGCAACACATGTTGGAAGCAGCGAGCAACACATGTTGGAAGCAGCGAGCAACACATGTTGGAAGCAGCGAGCAACACATGGGATTTGTCAGATTAAATCCCACTAACATCTTTTATTCATGTCAACCACAGCCAGAATATGCCAATTGTGACACTAAAATAAATAGCAGTAATATTATATATAAATATATATATATATATATATATAAATAAATATATATTATATATATATATATATATATATATATATATATATATATATATATAATATATATATATATATATTATATATATATATATATATATATATACATTTTTTTAACAAGTCGGCTGTCTCCCACAGAGGCAGGGTGACCCAAAAAGAAAATACTTTCATCATCATTCAACACTTTCACCACACTCACACATAATCACTGTTTTTGCAGAGGTGCTCAGAATACAACAGTTTAGAAGCATATACGTATAAAGATACACAACATATCCCTCCAAACTGCCAATATCCCGAAACCCCTCCTTTAAAGTGCAGACATTGTACTTCCCCTTTCCAGGACTCAAGTCCGGCTATATAAAAATAATCGATTTCTCTGAATCCCTTCACTAAATATTACCCTGCTCACACTCCAACAGATCGTCAGGTCCCAAATACCATTCGTCTCCATTCACTCCTATCGAACACGCTCATGCACGCCTGCTGGAAGTCCAAGCCTCTCGCCCACAAAACCTCCCTTACTCTTCCTTCCAACGTTTTCGAGGACGACCCCTACCCCGCCTTCCTTTCCCTACAGATTTATATGCTCTCCATGTCATTCTACTTTGATCCATTCTCTCTAAATGACCAAACCACCTCAACAAACCCTCTTCAGCCCTCTGACTAATACTTTTATTAACTCCACACCTTCTCCTAATTTCCACACTCTGAATTTTCTGCATAATATTTACACCACACATTGCCCTTAGACAGGACATCTCCACTGCCTCCAACCGTCTCCTCGCTGCTGCATTTACCACCCAAGCTTCACATCCATATAAGAGTGTTGGTACTACTATACTTTCATACATTCCCTTCTTTGCCTCCATAGATAACGTTTTTTGACTCCACATATACCTCAACACACCACTCACCTTTTTTCCCTCATCAATTCTATGATTAACCTCATCCTTCATAAATCCATCTGCTGACACGTCAACTCCCAAGTATCTGAAAACATTCACTTCTTCCATACTCCTCCTCCCCAGTTTGATATTCAATTTTTCTTTATCTAAATCATTTGATACCCTCATCACCTTACTCTTTTCTATGTTCACTTTCAACTTTCTACCTTTACACACACTCCGAAACTCATCCACTAACCTTTGTAATTTTTCTTTAGAATCTCCCATAAGCACAGTATCATCAGCAAAAACTAACTGTGTCAATTTCCATTTTGTATTTAATTCCCCATAATTTAATCCCACCCCTCTCCTGAACACCCTAGCATTTACTTCTTTTACAACCCCATCTATAAATATATTAAACAACCATGGTGACATTACACATCCCTGTCTAAGACCTACTTTTACCGGGAAGTAGTCTCCCTCTCTTCTACACACCCTAACCTGAGCCTCACTTTCCTCATAAAAACTCTTAACAGCATTTAGTAACTTACCACCTATTCCACATACTTGCAACATCTGCCACATTGCTCCTCTATCCACTCTATCATATGCCTTTTCTAAATCCATAAATACAATAAAAACTTCCCTACCTTTATCTAAATACTGTTCACATATATGCTTCAATGTAAACACTTGATCTACACATCCCCTACCCACTCTGAAACCTCCTTGCTCATCCGCAATCCTACATTCTGTCTTACCTCTTATTCTTTCAATAATAACCCTACCGTATACTTTTCCTGGTATAATCAGTAAACTTATTCCTCTATAATTTTTACAATCTCTTTTGTCTTCTTTCCCTTTATATAAAGGGACAATACACACACATAGGTACCTTCCCCTCTTTCATACATTTATTAAACAAAATACCAACCACTCCAACACCTATATCCCCCCTGCTTTTAACATTTCTGTCATGATCCCATCAGTTCCAGCTGCTTTACCCCCTTTCATTCTACGTAATGCCTCACGTACCTCCACCACACTTAAATTCTGCTCTTCTTCACTCCTAAAAGATGGTATACCTCCCTGGCCAGTGCATGAAATTATGTATGTATGTATATATGTATGTATGTATGTATGAATGTATGTATGTATATATGTATGTATGTATGTATGTATGTATGTATGTATGTATGTATGTATGTATATTTATATTTTTGATATGCGAAAATATCAATATCGGTGAGTATCGGCCATTTTTGCGGTATCGGTGAAAAACAGCCGATATCAGCCGATACTCTTTAAAATGTTGCCATTTCTGGGGACTTTTTTTTAAATTAATATTACACGTTTGCTTAAAAATATCAACATTAACACTGTACCTCACGACTGTAACCACACAGGAGCCAGGAGCTGTGACTCGACCCCTGCAACCACAACTAGGTGAGTACACACACACTGTCGACAAGTGCCTTTAATAACTAGTAACTAACACAACAGACAGGTAATGAGTAATAACTTTGTCATCTCAGAGAAATTAATTGATTTAATATTTAACCTTCTGTCTTATTTAATACCCATTGTGTAATAAACATTGTGTAATAAACATTGTGTAATAAACATTGTGTAATAAACATTGTGTAATAAACATTGTGTAATAAACATTGTGTAATAAACATTCCCCTATATATTAAACAGTCATATAATTAAAAAAAATAAAAAGTATTTAGAAAAAAATATTTATATCGGTAAAAATTTTGGATTCGTCCCTTCATTAATATATATATATATATATATATATATATATATATATATATATATATATATATATATATATATATATATATATAATAGATAGATAGATAGATAGATAGTGGGGAGAGTAATGGTGAGGGGTGACGCTGCTGCTCCCCGCTGAGGTCCTACCCACCCCTAAATTATATTAAACTAGTCAATATTGGGTGGCGGGTGGGCGGAGGCGCCCACGCCCCTCTGACCGCCGCCCAGCACAACACTGCCGACCGGGAGGACACCCGCTGATCACCTCCTTGTTGCTCTCTCCCTCTCATACCCCTGGCACTCTTGGTGCCTCACTCTCACTGTTTGGCACTGGCTCTTATCCACAGGCACAAATGTAATATTACCCGTCACTAGACAGAAATATAAATATTATTAACTGACTATAAATAAGTATCTATAATTAGACCCTCTGGATGCTATAATATATATATATATATATATATATATATTATATATATATATAATATATATATATAATAATATATATATATATATATATATATATATATATATATATATATATTATATATATATAATATATATATATATATATATATATATATATATATATATTATATAATTTCCATCGATTTCAAAAGATTTATTTAAAAAAATTTTAAAGTATGTTATTAATTATTAATAAGTAATATTACTGGCCTGATAAATGCTGCCTTATAATGTTATGGAGAATTAATAAGAGATAATATTCACTTCCGTAATAACGAGATTGTAACAATTTATGTACTAGAAACATGTACCACGATGACCCGTGACGGTAGAACACTGTGACGGTAGAACACTGTGACGGTAGAACACTGTGACGGTAGAACACCGTGACGGTAGAACACCGTGAAGGTTAGACAACGTGAAGGTAGAAAACCGTGATAATAGAACACCAATGACGTTATATATACAATGTGACGGTATAAAACCTGACGTTATAAACCAATAGTAGTTTAAATATACCAGTGAACGGTAGAAATCTAACCGTAGGACGTTATAGAGAAATCACCCGTGAACGGATAGAACAATTAGTATGAAGCAGTAGAACACCGTGACGGTAGAACACCGTGACGGTAGAACACCGTGACGGTAGAACACCGTGAAGGTAGAACACCGTGACGGTAGAACACCGTGACGGTAGAACACCGTGACGGTAGAACACCGTGACGGTAGAACACCGTGAAGGTAGAACACCGTGACGGTAGAACACCGTGACGGTAGAACACCCTGACGGTAGAACACCCTGACGGTAGAACACCGTGACGGTAGAACACCGTGACGGTAGAACACCGTGACGGTAGAACACCATTAAAGTAGAACATCGTAAAGATAGAACACCGTGAAGGTAGAACACCGTGAAGCACTTGTTTCGTGGCTCCGTGTCCTTGTTCTCTGAGGGTGGTTGTGGTAACTGTGATTGTTGTAGTAGTGGTTGTTCTAGTAGTTTTGTTAAGGGGACGAGAGTAGTGTTTGTGTTGCTTTAAGTGTAATATAACAGGGTATTAGTATATGTACCTGGTATCCATCCTGTCTGCTGGCCTTATAATGTACTACCTTATATATATATATATATATATATATATATATATATATATATATATATATATATATATATATATATATATATATATATATATATATATATATATATATATATATATATAATATTATGCAATTGTAATGTATTGGTGTTTTTTAATAATTGATGACAAACAGGACAATAACGTGAGTGGAACACTTCAGTAGAGAGTTGATAATAATAGTTCAGGATGGGACCAAAACGTCGACCAATTTTTATTTCCAATTTGTAAGCTGTCAGTGTTACATGACACAATATTAAATTCACGAGAAAACCTAAGTGTTGTGGAGGGGTGTTGCAGCGGGTGTCGAGGAAACACTACACCATCATTGAGACTTACTTGTTCTTATTCTGAATATTTTAGACTTGTCAGGTTTGCGCTTGGGGTTGATCCTAGCTGGTGACCTGCCGATGACCACCTCCGGCACCACCTGCGCCATCCTCTCAGACTCTAGTTTAGTGCCCGTCTCCAGCTGGTCTTCCGCTTCGTTAGCCGCCGTCGTCACCTCTCCTTCAGAGCTTGGCATCCTCCTTAAGATGCCACACTCAAGCCGGAGGCATTGACGGGGTCGTCCGCCTCATCCTCGCTACACAATTCCTGGGGTGTTCGGCCTCGGCCTCCCAACGGTACACTAGCCCTCACCACTTTTACAAGTCTCGCCGCGAGGGTCTGCAAAGTACACTTGGAGAGCCGTTCTGGCTCCGCCTCACTAGTCTGACACACACAAACGTCACCGTGTACTAGCACTTTCTCCCGTCACCGCATGCACAACACGGGTCGGCACTGTCGAGCACATGTCCGGCAGGTCTCGCAGCGAGTAGGGTGTCGCAGGTATCATCCGCGGCGCTACACTTGCGCTGGAGACGCTGATGAGGAGAGGACCACCACACGCAGCCAGGGTCCCCACTGCTCTGAGCGCCCCCGGGCCAGCTTACAGCCACCGCCGCGCCGCACTCACGCTGCTGCGGGGCGGAGCACCGCTTGCCGCGGGGCGGAGCCTACCACAGGGGCGGAGCTCCTCTATACATATCATACCAACCCCAACTACGGTATTATTAATATAGCGTATGTTGCTTGCTATATAATACCTCACGGTATTTTTATGCTATAAGCCATGCTTTTATGTGATGTCAAACGTCTCCCGGGCTCCAAGAATCCGGGAAGAAGCTAGTAGACTCCGCCTTCTTAGGAGGGAGACGCTAGGAGAAGGAGGAGCAGGAGAGGTGGGCGGGGCGCGCGGTGATCACCTCGTGACATGCGCGACTCCGCAGCCTCCCGGCGACAGCTCCCTGTCACTAGTGAGTCAAATGGCGCTCAAGGTATCACACCAGCGGACACCACAATATCGCTGCTCAACACGCTGCTACACCTGAATCCCGCAGGTGTTTAGCGTAGCTGCGGCGTACAGCTGCGGCGGACGTCAGCTCTCGGGGCGTATCTAGGTGGAGTCAGTGTTAGCTGATGACCTTCGCTGCTGTCAACATTAGTGGGCAAGTCTAGACGTATGGGCAAGTCTCCTTACACCTGCTGCCCGTGTTCACCTAGCCGTAAACAGATGCCTAGTAGATGTTAGCCGACTGCCGTGGGTCGCAGCCTAGGGAAGAGCACGCAAGAGCCTCAATGGAAATAAGCCTCAATGCTTAACTTTCTCGGGTTAACCTGGGTTAATAACCCACCGAGGTTCATAAACCCAGCCAAGTCTTCATTCTCACCCCAAAATCCTGACGATGTGACGGCTGCAACAGATAACAGGTGCCAAGCCACAGCTCATCTGCGCTAACCCACACTCACCCTCACCACAGTTATTGAGTGAATTAACTGAGTGGATCGTTCATACTTGGCTAAACTGAATCACCACTCACCACTCTATTGATCGGATCATCCTACTCACAACTGAGAGGATCATCTCCACTATACTCACAGGAACATTAAATAATGGTCTGGACCGCCCACGCTACAACTGGACCGACACATACCTCACCACATCTTACGACCTAAGGAGCACGCTATCTACACAGTACTGATTGTGACATCACTACTGACTGTACCATCACACTACTAACTGTACCATCACCACACTACAAACTGCCACATTACTACCGAGTGTATCGTTACTACTGGCTATACCATCACACTGCTGACTACCATTACTACTGATTGTACCATCACCACACAAATGACTGATGGTACGATCATCACACTACTGGGCTGTACCATTACTACACTGTTGACTGTACCATCATCACGCTACTGACCGTACCATTAATACACTGCTGACTGTACCATCATTATACTAGTGACTATTAACATCAAACTACTGGTTGTACAATCACTATCTTACCGATTGTACCATAACCACACTACTGTACCAAAAACTACATTACTGACAGTACAATCATCACACTACTTACTGTACCATCACCACATTACTGATTGTGCCATCACATTACTGACTGTACCATCATCACATTACTGACTGTACCATCATCACATTACTGACTGTACCATCATCACACTACTGATTGTTCCATCCCACACACTAGTGATTGTAACACCTCTACATTACTTATCGTACCATCACACTACTGATTGCTCTATCACCAAAAAAAACTGATTGTACCATCACGACACTACTGACTGTTCCATCACCACACTATTGTCTGTACTATCACCACAATACAGACTGTACCATCACCACACTACTGACTGTACCATCATCACACTACTGATTGTTCCAACACCACACTGCTGACTGTTCAATCACGCTAATGACTGTACAATCAAACTACTGACTCTACACTCACATCACTGACTGTACTATCACTATTGGTTGTACATCACACACTGTATCATCACACTACTGATTGTACCATTACTACTGGCTGCACCAGCACAGTACTGATTGTACCATCACACTACTGACTGTACCATCACTCTATTGACTGTACCATCATTCTACTGACTGTACCATCACTGCTGGCTGTACCATCACTACTGACTGTACCATTACTACTGGCTGCACCATCACACTACTGATTGTACATCACTTTACTGACTCCACCATCACGCTAATGGCAGTACCATCACTCTACTGACTGTACCATTACACTAATGACTGTACCATCACACTAATGGCTGTACCATCACACTACTGACTGTACCATCACACTACTGACTGTACCATCACTCTACTGACTGTACCATCACACTAATGACTGTTCCATCACACTACTGACTGTTCCATCACTCTACTGACTGTACCAAAACACTAATGACTGTATCATCGCTCTTCTGACTGTTCCATCACACTACTGACTGTTCCATCACCCTACTGACTGTACCATCACTCTACTGACTGTACCATCACACTAATGACTGTACCATCACACTATTGACTGTTCCATCACTCTATCACTCTACTGACTGTACCATCACTCTACTGACTGTACCATCACACTACTGACTGTTCCATCACTCTACTGACTGTACCATCACTCTACTGACTGTACTATCACACTACTGACTGTTCCATCACTCTACTGACTGTACCATCACTCTACTGACTGTACCATCACTCTACTGACTGTACCATCGCACTACTGACTGTTCCATCACTCTACTGACTGTGCCATCACTCTGCTGACTGTACCATCACACTATTGACTGTACCATCACACTACTGACTGTTCCATCACTCTACTGGCTATACCATCATTCTACTTAATGTACCATCACACTACTGACTGTACCATCACACTAATGACCGTACCATCACACTACTGACTGTACCATCACTCTACTGACTGTACCATCATTCTACTGACTGTACCATCACTCTACTGACTGTAACATCACACTGCTGACTGTACCATCACACTGCTGACTGTACCATCACACTACCGTACCATCACACTACTGACTGTTTCATCACTCTACTGATTGCACCATCACACTGCTGACTGGACAATCACTCTACTGACTGTACCATCATTTTACTTACTGTACCATCACACTACTGACTGTACCGTCACACTAATGACTGTACCATCACACTAATGACTGTACCATCACACTACTGACTGTACCATCACATTAATGACTGTACCATCACTCTACTGACTGTATCATCACTCTACTGACTGTACCATCATTCTACTGACTGTACCATCACTCTACCGACTGTACCATCACTCTACCGACTGTACCATCACAGTAATGACTGTACCATCACACTACTGACTGTACCATCACACTGCTGACTGTATCATCACGCTACTGACTGTACCATCACACTATTGACTGTACCATCACACTACTGACTGTACCATCACACTACTGACTGTACCATCACACTACTGACTGTACCATCACATTACTGACTGTACCATCACTCTATTGACTGTACCATCACACTACTGACTGTACCATCACACTACTGACTGTACCATCACACTACTGACTGTACCATCACACTACTGACTCTACCATCACACTACTGACTCTACCATCACACTACTGACTGTACCATCACACTACTGACTGTGCCAACACACTACTGACTGTTCCATCACACTACTGACTGTACCATCACACTACTGACTGTACCATCACACTACTGACTGTACCATCACACTACTGACTGTTACATCACACTACTGACTGTACAATCTCACTATTGACTGTACCATCACACTACTGACTGTTCCATTACACTACTGGCTGTACCATCACACTACTGACTGTACCATCACACTACTGACTGTATCATCACACTACTGACTGTACCATCACTCTACTGACTGTACCATCACACTACTGACTGTACCATCACACTATTGACTGTACCATCACACTACTGACCGTTCCATCACACTACTGACTGTACCCTCACACTACTGACTGTACCATCACACTATTGACTGTACCATCACACTACTGACCGTTCCATCATACTACTGACTGTACTATCACACTACTGACTGTACCATCACACTACTGACTGTACTATCACTCTACTGACTGTACCATCACACTACTGACTGTGCCATCACACTACTGACTGTACCATCACGCTACTGACTGTACCATCACACTACTGACTGCACCATCACACTACTGACTGTACTGTCACTCTACTGACTGTGCCATCACACTACTGACTGTACCATCACACTACTGACTGTACCATCACACTACTGACTGTACAATCACACTACTGACTGTACCATCACACTATTGACTGTACCATCACACTATTGACTGTACCATCACACTATTGACTGTACCATCACACTATTGACTGTACCATCACACTATTGACTGTACCATCACTCTATTGACTGTACCATCACACTACTGATTGTACCATCACACTACTAACTGTACCATCACTCTACTGACTGTACCATCACACTATTGACTGTACCATCACACTATTGACTGTACCATCGTACCATCACACTATTGACTGTACCATCACACTACTGACTGTACCATCGCACTACTGACTGTACCATCGCATTATTGACTCTACCATCACACTATTGACTGTACCATCACACTATTGACTGTACCATCACACTATTGACTGTACCATCACACTATTGACTGTACCATCACACTATTGATTGCACCATCACTCTATTGACTGTACCATCACACTACTGACTGTACCGTCACACTATTGACTGCATCATCACTCTATTGACTGTACCGTCACACTACTGACTGTACCATCGCACTATTGACTGTAACATCACTCTATTGACAGTACCATCACACTACTGACTGTATCATCGCACTATTGACTGTACCATCACACTATTGACAGTACCATCACACTATTGACTGTACTATCACACTACTGACTGTACCGTCACACTATTGACTGTACCATCACACTATTGACTGTACCATCACACTATTGACTGTACCATCACACTATTGACTGTACTATCACACTACTGACTGTACCGTCACACTATTGACTGTACCATCACACTATTGACTGTACCATCACACTATTGACTGTACCATCACACTATTGACTGTACCATCACACTATTGACTGTACCATCACACTATTGACTGTACCGTCACACTATTGACTGTACCATCACACTATTGACTGTACCATCACACTCTTGACTGTACCATCACACTATTGACTGTACCGTCACACTATTGACTGTACCATCACACTATTGACTGTACCGTCACACTATCGACTGTACCATCACACTATTGACTGTACCATCACACTATTGACTGTACTATCACACTACTGACTGTACCGTCACACTATTGACTGCACCATCACACTATTGACTGTACCATCACACTATTGACTGTACCATCACACTATTGACTGTCCCATCACACTATTGACTGTACCGTCACACTATTGACTGTACCATCACTCTATTGACTGTACCATCACACTATTGACTGTACCATCACACTATTGACTGTACCGTCACACTATTGACTGTACCATCACTCTATTGACTGTACCATCACACTATTGACTGTACCATCACACTATTGACTGTACCATCACACTATTGACTGTACTATCACACTACTGACTGTACCGTCACACTATTGACTGCACCATCACACTATTGACTGTACCATCACACTATTGACTGTACCATCACACTATTGACTGTACCATCACACTATTGACTGTACCGTCACACTATTGACTGTACCATCACTCTATTGACTGTACCATCACTCTATTGACTGTACCATCACACTATTGACTGTACCATCACACTATTGACTGTACCATCACACTATTGACTGTACCATCACACTATTGACTGTACCATCACACTATTGACTGTACCATCACACTATTGACTGTACCGTCACACTACTGACTGTACCATCACACTATTGACTGTACCATCACACTATTGACTGTACCATCACACTATTGACTGTACCATCACACTATTGACTGTACCGTCACACTACTGACTGTACCATCACACTATTGACTGTACCATCACACTATTGACTGTACCATCACACTATTGACTGTACCATCACACTATTGACTGTACCGTCACACTACTGACTGTACCATCACACTATTGACTGTACCATCACACTATCGACTGTACCGTCACACTATTGACTGTACCGTCACACTATTGACTGTACCGTCACACTATTGACTGTACCGTCACACTATTGACTGTACCGTCACACTATCGACTGTACCGTCACACTACTGAGTAGAAAATCTCATTCATCATCATTTATATAATTTATGATTATAGTCATTATCCTCAATAACTTATCATCATCATTATCACGAATCATCATCATTAATTATGTTCATCATCATGATAACTATCATGAGTCGTCATCCTTATCATTCGTCTTCAGTAATCATTAGTCATCATCATCAGTCATCAGTTACAATTTTCAACAGTTATCATCATAATATTAATCATCATCAGTCACCTTCATCAATCACCATTACCATCATCAATCATCATCATCATCAGTCATCATCATCATCATCATCATCATCGTCGTCGTCATCAGTCATCTTCATCAATCATCATCATCATCAGTCACCTTCGTCAATCATCATCATCAATCACTATCAATCATCATCATCATCATCAATCACTATCAATCATCATCATCATCATCATCATCATCAGTCACCTTCATCAATCATCATCATCAGTCATCTTCATCAATCATCATCATCAGTCATCATCATCAGTCATCATCATCAGTCATCTTCATCAATCATCATCAGTCGCTTTCATCAATCATCATCTTCTATCATATTCATCAATCATCATCATCAATCATCATCATCAGTCATCATCATCAGTCATCTTCATCAATCATCATCAGTCGCTTTCATCAATCATTATCTTCTATCATATTCATCAATAATCATCAATTATCATTATTCTTATTAACACAGACTAAGAAACAAGGCTGACACCATCAGTGCTTCTGCAGCTGTCTTGAGAGCTCTAGACCCGCATGGATCATCCTACGAAACCCACAAGTAGTGGAGGCTTGATCCTCCGTCCCTGTGGATCATTCGAAATTGTATCATCCAAGAAGCTGGGCTATTGTGCATCCAGTAGCCATCCAGTTGATGGTAGCGCAAGAACACATCCACCCAGTGGATGGTAGCACAAGAACACATCCATCCAGTTGATGGTAGCACAAGAACACTTCCATCCAGTGGATGGTAGCACAAGAACACCTCCATCCAGTGGATGGTAGTGCAAGAACACATCCATCCAGTGGATGGTAGCGCAAGAGCACATCCATCCAGTTGATGGTAGCACAAGAACACTTCCATCCAGTGGATGGTAGCGCAAAAATATATCCATCCAGTTGATGGTAGCACAAGAACACATCCATCCAGTTGACGGTAGCGCAAGAACACATCCATCCAGTGGATGGTAGCGCAAGAACACATCCATCCAGTTGATGGTAGCACAAGAACACTTTCATCCTGTGGATGGTAGCGCAAGAACACATCCATCCAGTGGATGGTAGCTCAAGAATACATCCATCCAGTGGATGGTAGTGCAAGAATACATCCATCCAGTTGATGGTAGCACAAGAACACATCCATCCAGTGGATGGTAGCACAAGAACACATCCATCCAGTGGATGGTAGCACAAGAACACATCCATCCAGTGGATGGTAGCACAAGAACACATCCATCCAGTGGATGGTAGCACAAGAACACATCCATCCAGTGGATGGGAGCGCAAGAATACAACCATCCAGTGGAGGGTAGCGCAAGAATACATCCATCCAGTGGATGGTAGCACAAGAACACATCCATCCAGTGGATGGCAGCACAAGAACACATCCATCCAGTGGGTGATAGCGCAAGAATACATCCATCCAGTGGATGGTAGCACAAGAACACATCCATCCAGTGGATGGTAGCACAAGAACACATCCATCCAGTGGATGGTAGCGCAAGAATACAACCATCCAGTGGAGGGTAGCGCAAGAATACATCCATCCAGTGGATGGTAGCGCAAGAACACATCCATCCAGTGGATGGCAGCACAAGAACACATCCATCCAGTGGATGATAGCGCAAGAATACATCCATCCAGTGGATGGTAGCACAAGAACACATCCATCCAGTTGATGGTAGCCCAAGAACACATCCATCCAGTTGATGATAGCACAAGAACACATCCATCCACTGGATTGGTAGCACAAGAACACATCCATCCAGTGGATGGCAGCGC